GAAAGAGCGTGTTCTATTCTTGCTGGCAGAAAACCGGGGGGTCACTGGGGGGTTCCAACCCGTCCCACCCACCCCTCTCGAAAACCAGAGGGGGTCACTGGAGGTTCCAACCCCCTCTTCCCCCCCCTGTCCATCATGAAAAGGGGGGGTCACTACCTGTTCGAACCCCTCCCCCCCCCTCCTGGAAAAACGGGGGGGGTCATTACTGGTTCGAACCTCCCCCCCCACTTCCACCCCCCCCTTCCCCCACGCCGCATCGACTCCCCCTCCTCTCCCACTCCGTACGGGGGACTGGTGGGGACTGTGGTTGGGACGGTGGTGGGGATGGTGGTGGGGAGTGGGGACAGTGGGAAGAGTGGGACCGTGGTGGGGACATTGGTGGAAACAGTGGGGGCAGTGCGACAGTGGTGGGGGCACTGGCGGGGACAGTGGGGACAATTGTGGAGACTTTGGGGACAGTGAGACAGTGGAGGGGACAATGGGGACAGTTGGACAGTGGTGGGGACGGTGGTGGCGGGGACAGTAGTGGGACAGTGGTGGGGACGGTGGTGGTGGGGGCAGTGGTGAGGGCGGTGGTTAGGACGGTGATGGGACAGTGGTACAGTGGAGAGAGTGATAAGGATAGTGGGGACAGTGGGACAGTGGTGGGGACAGTGTGGACAGTGGGGCAGCACAGTGGGACAGCGGTGGGGACAGTGGGAACAGTGGGACAGTGGTGGGGATAGTTGGGACAGTGGGACAGTGTTAGGGACACTTGGGACAGCGAGGAGAGTGGGATCGTGGTGGGGACAGTGGTGGGGACAGTGGGGACAGTGCGACAGTGGCGGGGGCACTGGTTGGGAAAGTGGAGACAGTGGTGGGGACAGTGGGGACAGTGGGACTTTGGTGGGGACAGTGGGGACAGTGGGACAGTGGTGGGGATGGTGGTGGTGGGGACAGGTGTGGGGGGGCACTGGGATTATGATGTTCCAACCTACTTTAGCCTTGATCACTGGAGAATTTCTAGCACCCAAAAAACAACGAAACTCCATGGTTTTCGCGTGTCGGGCCCTGGGAGACACTCGCCCGACACTGTTTCGACACTCTTCGACACTCTTCCGACACTTTTTCCGGGTGCTCGAAATTATTTCTGGGATGCGGTCTTTAAGTAGGATTGGAACAACATAACATTGGGACAGTGGTGGGGACGGTGTTGGTAGGGATAGTGGTGAGGGCGGTGGTGAGGACGGTGGTGGGACAATGGGACAGTGGTACAGTGGGGAGAGTGGTGGGGACAGTGGTGTAAACAATGGGACAGCTCAGTGGGACAGCGGCGGGAATAGTGGGGACAGTGGGACAGTGGTGGGGACAGTGGGGACAGTAGAACAGCCTTGGGGACAGTAGGGACAGTCGGAAGAGTGCGACAGTGGTGGGGACAGTGGCGGGGACAGTGGGGACAGTGCGACAGTGGTGGGGGCATTGGCGGGGACAGTAGGGACAGTGGTGGGAACAGTGGGGACCGTGGGACAGTGGTGGCGACGGCGGCGGCGGGGACAGTGGTGAGGGCGGCGGTGAGGACGGTGGTGGGGACCCGGGAGTCTTTTGCCCCGTGTGCGCGCCACCAAAGGACCCAGACATCCTCCGACATGTTTTTTTTTCAGTCCGCGGCCCCAGATGTAATGGACCCGTTCCCCCGGGGGTCTCGACCCCTTCCCCAGGGGGGTCTTCTATTTGGGCCCCGGCTCCAGGCCTGCTGGCGGGCCCTCGAGGCTGAAATCGATGAAAAGCCGCCCCAGATGGAAGGACACACCCTCGGAGGTCTGGGGGGGGGGCGTGGCGGAAGGGGAAGAAGTTAGGGGAGGAGCGAGCGAGGCCAGGCTCGGACCGAGGTGCGCAGCTGGAGGTGTCGTGCCGCTGGTTCTGGGCATTTCTGGAGGCCTCCGGGGGACCTCCGGGGGTCCTCTGGGGGCGGAAGGCCTCCTCGGCCCTCCAGAGTCCGAGGTGAGGTTCGGGCGGCCTCGAATGGCACGAGTCAAGCTCACATCGGCCAAGCGAGTGCCACAGCCCCATGGCTGCGACAGCGGGAGAATGCCCCGCTGGCGCCAGTTTGGGCTCACGAAGCTGGGGTAGGCCAATCCCTTCTGGCTGACCCGGGTTTGGGGGCCACCTGGGGCCGATTCTCCTTTTTGCGCCCTCCGCTGACCCAGGTTCGAGAGCTACTAAGCGGCTGGTCTGGCTTGGCGACAGGGCCCTGGCCGACTAGGGTCTGTGCTGACCCGGGCCAGTGCGTGCCCGACTAGTGAGAAGAGGACCAGCATGTCAACATTAAAGGCCCACACATTCGACCCAGAGCGTACAACATTGAGGCCTCAGTAAGGCTCAACATTCCACGAGGAGGAGGAGGAGGAGGAGGAGGAGGAGTAGAAAGAGGAGGAGGACCCTGAGATCTAACGTCACGAAAAGTGCAACATCGCGAAACCAAGCTCAACTGGTGCCCTGGACTCCATCTTTCTGCAGCATCTTTCGAGCCAGATCGATTCATGGGGGTCCCAGTGGCCTGAAACAGTGCAAGATCGCCCGATGTAAAGAATGCGACGCCGGGAGCTCAGGGAAGGCCCAGCATTCGAGGAGGAGCACGCAGCCTCAAGGAGTCCGTCGCGCAGCGCGCCAACGGCCACTGAGGATTCGAGGAGGAGGAGGAAGAAGAAGAAGAAGAAGAGGAGGAGGAGGAAGAGGAGGAGGAGGAGGAGGAGGAGGAGTGGGACAGGCAGGGGGAGAGGGCAGTGGGGTGAGGGGGGAGGACCTGGTGTCGGCCCTCTGCAGCGGCCTGCTCACCATCGGCCCGCGCTTCGGCGGTGCGCTGGACGACGCCGCGAAGATGTTCAGCGAGGCATACGACAGCGGCGTCACCCCGAAGGACTTCATCGACAGGTTCGAAACAACAAACCTCGCGTAACAGTACATGTATGGAGCTCTGCCCAGATCTCTTGGGTCCGCGATAGCCCCCCCTGGCGGCGCATCTGGCGCCGCCCCTGGCGCGCTCCGCGCGCCAGAGAGGGGGACCCATCGCCAATCCGAGACATCCGCGCGCAGCTCCCAACGTTTGTGTTTATGTTAGTGTTTTTCTGCAGGTGTAAGAAGAACAACCAGCTCGTCATGGGCATCGGGCACCGCATCAAGTCCCTGGCCAACCCGGACCAGCGCGTGGTCCTGATCAAGGAGTACGCGAAGAAACACTTCAAGTCGACCCCGATCTTGGACTTCGCGCTGGCGGTGGAGCAGATCACGACGCGGAAGCGCGCCAATCTCATCCTGAACGTCGACGGTTGCATCGCCGTCTCTTTCGTAGACATGATCAGGTCTTGTGGCGCTTTCTCGAGGGAGGAGTGCGACGAGCTGATGAGTTTCGGCTGCCTGAACGGACTCTTCGTGCTCGGCCGCTCCATCGGCTTCATCGGCCACTACTTGGACCAGCTTCGCCTGAAGCAGCCGCTGTACCGCCACCCGTGGGACGACATCACGTACATCCAGGAGCTCGCCGGCAGCAGTTGAGCTGGCCTCACGGCTGCTTGGAGGCACCTGACCGAGCGAGGCCATTAGCCTTTGCTACAGACCAGATAATTAAATAAGAGATTCTTGAGCCGGCGGGAGCCGGGCCGCACCTTTTCGGTAGCGTCCAGGCACTTGCGTGTTACAGCCATACCTCTAGGCCTCCCAGGTTGGGTCCGAGTAGATGGGGTCGCAGGATCGCGCCGCATCGCCGATGGATCGGCAAGCCCGATTTTCTCCACGCCGATTGCGCCGATGCATCGCCGACGCATTGGCGATGCGGCGCGATCCTCCGACACCATCTACTCGGACTCCATCTAGGAGGCCTCCAGTATCCGCGAGGGCTCGGACAGACTGCGCCCACAAGGAGCGTGCACCTGGCCTTGCTGGCTCCGAGGTTCGGGCCTGGCGTTCTGCTCCTGCAGTTCGAGGCCAGCCTGCGGTGACATTTCTACCCAGCTCCAGTCCGAACAAGGTGCGAGTCTCAGGCAATGCCTGTGCGATTCTCTCAGACTGCCAGGCCCTCTTGCGAGGCGCCTTAAGCAAGGGAGCGTGCGGCAACAGTTTGGAAAATTGATTACTGCAGGCCAGGCGCATCCTGAGCCAATCCAAGCATGTGATGTCTTGATCTTCTCAATACGGGGCTCCTGGAAGTCCCGACCTTTCCCCAGGCCCCGTTGTTTCATCCTTGGTCGTTCTTTCACGTTCCCGGGGCCTGGAGAGGGCCCCCAGGGGCCGAAAATTGCCAAAAGATTAGCGTCGTAGTATTTTTGTTCACGATGCGGGCACGTCTGAGATCCCATTGTGGCATCAGTCTCGTCCTCCTTCTGGCGTGAGGAAGCCTAGCGTCCTTACGATCCCGCGTCTGCCTCCCGCCTGGGCCCGGAAGAACCAGCGGCGCGGGCCAGCAACGTGTTCACTGGCACCCCCAAATTGGAGAAAACATGTGAGCGACGGAAGAAAACGGGATCTACTGCGCGGACATTCGCGCGCAAGTTTCCCGCGGAAGGTCGCGTGTGAGCGCCTTCTTCTCCACTCAGTTGAGTAATGCTCGCGACCCGTGTAATCCGCGGCGTAAGGTCGCTATGTCTTCTCACGTAGGACCCGCTTCTTGTAGCCGTTCACGCGCAAACATTGATTTCCACAGGGTACGCCCAAATACAGTAGGCACGCCATGTAAGAAGATGGCCTGCTAACGGGTGAACCACGATACTGAATGTCTTATCTCCTGATGGACCCGTACAGTGTACAGCCTTGGGTGCATATTCACAGGGAGCAGTGATAAACCCCTCCTCCGAGCAGGGGAAGACGGGATATTGGTAGAGAGGGTGGGGGAAAACTCGTTAGACCGCCTACGCCAGAAGACATGTGGGACTTAGGAGCTCGCCCTCTGAGGTGGTGGGCAGTCATGTGCTTTGAGAGCTGGTCATGAAAACGTTACGATCTCAGCGCTACTGGGCTCCCACGGACGTTGCAAGATTGCGTATTGCTTCTCTGCGCTGACGAGAATTCAACGTCTCAATTGTTGGAATATGTGCCTCGCACCCTGAGTCGGTGACAGTGGTACATACGATGAAATATACGGACAATAGTGGGGAACGTGTCGTTATTCCCCTCGCCATCTGCATCATGTCCCACTGTAGGCTTCTCGAGCTTTTTGGAGTCAAGGTGCTGCAGATTACTCAGGTGCTTCCTAGTGTCTGCGTTGCCAAGGGCGGTACAGCCCGTCATGTCCGTGAAGTGCATCCGCGAGCACACGGGTAAAGCGTTGTTGGAGAAGTGGCTTCCCGAGATCTCCAATGGCAAGCACAAAATGGGCACAGCGGGAGTGCTCATTACACCCTCAGTGCTTGATCCGACCAGCGGGGACACCTGGGAGTCGATTGTGGAGAAGAACCCCTGGCTGCTGACTTCCAAGCTCGTGGCCAAGCCTGACCAACTGATCAAGCGCCGTGGCAAGGCTGGCCTCATCGCACTCGGCAAGACCTTCGACGAGGCTAAGAAGTGGGTTATGGAGAGGATGTGCACCGAGCAAAAGGTGGAGACCGTAACTGGTCAGCTGAATCACTTCCTAATCGAGCCAATGGTGCCCCATAAACAGGATGAGGAGTTCTACATCTGCATCCACACTGTGCGCTACTACGACGAGATCCTGTTCTACCATGAGGGTGGTGTTGACGTTGGGGACGTAGACTCGAAGGCTGAGCGTCTCCAGATACCGATCGGGGAGGGCGTCGACGACAAGAAGATCATCGCCGGTCTATTGTCGAAGGTGCCAGCTGCGAAGCAACCCAGTTTGGCGTCTTTCATTGAGTGCCTCTACAAATTCTACAAGGATCTGCACTTCGCATATCTGGAAATCAACCCCTTGGTGATGCTGGAAGACAACACAGTGGTGCCTCTGGACATGGCCGCGAAGATTGACGAGACCGCCAACTTCCTGGTTGCGCAGAAGTGGGGGGAGGTCGACTGGCCCCCGCCGTTCGGCCGCGCCGCCTACGCCGAGGAGGCGCTCATTCGCGACATGGACGGCAAGACGGGTGCTTCGCTGAAGTTGACCATCTTGAACGAGAAGGCAGGGCTCGTTTCGATTCTTCCGGTTCGATTCGATTCCGATTGTTTATCCGATTTGGATTCCGATTTCTCAACGGAGGCCTGTTAATTTGCCGATTTCCGCCGATTCGACTTATCCCGACTCGGCTGACGACTTCCGCTGACCCTATTCATTTCGATCGCCGATCCGACGTATCGACTCGATTCTGGGCTCTCCTGGAAGGGCCGCGTGTGGACCATGGTGGCGGGTGGCGGTGCGTCCGTAGTGTACGCCGACACTGTCGCGGACTATGGCATGGGGAGCGAGCTCGCGAATTACGGCGAGTATTCTGGCGCCCCGTCGACCGAAGAGACTTTTGTGTATGCGAAGACATTGTTCTCGCTCATGTTGAAGTACAAGCATCCTGAGGGCAAGATCTTGATCATCGGCGGCGGCATCGCCAACTTCACTGACGTCGCAGCGACCTTCACGGGTCTCATACAGGCGCTGCAGCACTATGCGGACGACATCAAGGAGCACAACATCAAGATCTGGATCCGTCGTGCTGGCCCGAACTACGTGGAGGGTCTGCGCAAAGTCAAGGTGGCCAGCGAGAAGCTCGGCCTCGGCATCAAGGTCTACGGCCCGGAGACGCACATCACGGCCATCATCCCCATGGCGCTCGGGCTCAAGGAGGTGCAGGAAGAGCCCGACCTCAGCGCGTCGTGTGGCCCCCCGGTGCGCAAGATGATCGACATGAAGGACAAGAAGCCCAACACGCAGAAGCCAGCGCCGCCTGCGTCGAAGCACACCATTGTCACGGCCACAGCCGACACGACCTGCATCGTCTACGGCATGCAGAACCGAGCCGTCCAGGGCATGCTGGATTTCGACTACATGTGCAAGCGTAAGAAGCCCTCTGTCTCCGCAATGGTGTTCCCCTTCTCCGGGAACCACTACGTAAAGTTCTACTGGGGCACCGAGGAGATCTTGATGCCCGTGTACACGACCACAAAGGAGGCTTGCGAGAAGCACCCAGCTGTCTCCGTCTTCGTCAACTTCGCGTCCTTCCGCTCGGTCTATGAGACGTCAATGGAGGCGATGGAGTACCCAAACGTCAAGACCGTTGCCATCATCGCCGAGGGTGTGCCGGAGCAGCAGAGCCTTCTGCTCATCAAGGCGGCCGAGGCCAAGGGCATCGGCATGATCGGCCCCGCCACGGTCGGCGGCATCAAGCCCGGCTGCCTGCGCATCGGCAACACGGGCGGCATGTTGGACAACATCGTGATGTCGCGCCTGTACCGCCCAGGCTCCATCGCCTACGTCTCCAAGTCGGGAGGCCAATGCCCCCCCCCCTCCCCCAACTGAGACGTGCACCAGCCCATTGAGCCCCCCTGGGGCGCCAGCGGCCTTCCGTGGGCAGGGATGGACAGATGCGC